AACAAATTAAAAGCATTGAACTAATTAATAAGGTATAAGTATTAATTTAAAAATACTGGAAATAATTTGGTAATTATGATATGTTGCTAATTGTAAAATAGGCTATAATTGCAATTACATGCAATTTAGCTTTTAAATACCAAATAAATTTGTAAAAATATGCAAAAAAAATCACCTTAATTATATTTTGGTGTAAATATGAGAATAAAATAAGTTATTCACCAAAAATGATAATTTTGGAAATAATTATTCAATTTTGTAGTATTAAAATAGACCATAAATTGGTTGTGAAAATCTTTTAAAAATTTGGAAAAATACCAAAACACTCGGGTATGTTCATATACGCATATATATGTTATTTTAAAAGTATTTTGAGTACAAAAATACCTAGAGAAAAATTGGGTATCAACAACTGTGGTGACCAATGACAACAATGAACTCATTCCTACTCGCACGGTCACCGGGTGGAGAGTATGTATGGATTACCGGAAGCTAAACAAGGTGAACCGAAAAGATCATTTCCCATTGTCATTCCTTGACCAAATGCTAGATCGTCTTGCGGGGCGTGCTTTCTATTGCTTTTTGGATGGTTACTCGGGGTACAATCAAATTTTTATTGCCCCAGAGGACCAAGAGAAGACAACTTTTACATGTCCTTATGGCACATTCGCTTTCTCTCGAATGTCGTTCGGATTGTGTAATGCTCCGACGACCTTCCAACGTTGCATGATGGCTATTTTCACCGACATGGTGGAAGATATCTTGGAGGTTTTCATGGATGATTTAAGCGTGATTGGGGATTCTTTTGATGAGTGCCTGAAAAATTTGGATAGAGTATTGGCCCGGTGTGAAGACACCAACCTTGTTCTCAATTGGTAAAAGTGTCATTTCATGGTAGAAGAGGGTATAGTGTTGGGTCACAAAATCTCGAAGCGAGGAATTGAAGTGGATAAAGCCAAGATAGAGGTGATTTCGATGCTTCCTCCCCCTACGTCTGTCAAAGGGGTGAGGAGTTTCCTTGGGCACGCGGGTTTTTACCGGAGGTTCATAAAAGATTTTTCCAAAGTGGTACACCCTTTGTGCAAGTTGCTAGAGAAAGATGCAAAGTTCTTGTTCGATGAGAGTTGTATGCAAGCATTCGAGCTTCTCAAGCTCAAGTTGACTTCTACCCCCATCATTACCGCACCTAATTGGAGCTTGCCTTTCGAGATCATGTGTGATGCTAGTGAAGTTGCGGTTGGGGATGTTTTGGGCCAAAGGATCAACAAGATGTTGCATCCGGTGTACTACGCAAGCAAGACCATGAATGAGGCTCAAAAGAACTATATAGTCACCGAGAAAGAGTTGTTGGCTATTGTATTTGCTATGGAAAAATTACCTTACCTTGGGAGCCAAAGTTATAGTGCACACCGATCATGCTGCCCTTAGGTATTTGATGACCAAGAAAGACTCCAAGGCGAGATTGATGAGATGGGTGTTACTTCTTCAAGAGTTTGATCTAGAAATTGTTGACCGGAAAGGTAGTGAGAATCAAGTGGTGGACCACTTGTCCCATTTGGAGAAGGAGGGGAGGCCTTGTGACGGCCTTGAGATCAATGATTCATTTCCCGACGAACAACTCCTTGCAGTGAAAATGAAGGATATGTCATGGTTTGTCGATGTTGCCAATTACCTTGTGACCGGAATAATCCCGTATGAGCTCTCTTCTAACCAAAGGAAGAAGCTCAAGCGGGATAGTTTGGATTTCTATTGTGATGAGCCATACTTGTTCAAGATTTGCACGGATGGTGTGATTCGTAGATATGTCCCGGAGAAAGAACAATTGAGTATCTTAGAGGCTTGCTATTCTTCACCCTATGGTGGCCATCATGGTGGGGTGAGGACCGCCTCGAAAGTTCTTAGTTGTGGATTCTATTGGCCCACCGTGTTTAAAGATGCGGGCGATTTGGTGAAGAGGTGTGATGAGTGCCAAAGAGCGGGCAGAATTTCAAAAAGAGATGAGATGCCTCTCAATACAATTCTAGAAGTGGATATCTTTGATGTTTGGGGCAGCGATTTCATGTGTCCATTTGTTAGATCTTGTGGGAATACTTACATTCTTGTGGCGGTTGATTATGTCTCAAAATGGGTTAAAGCCGTGGCTTTGCCTAATAATGAAGCCCGGAGTGTTGTTGCGTTTCTTAAAAAGAGCATTTTCATAAGGTTTAGCACTCCGTGTGCGATTGTCAGTGATGGGGGTCTCACTTTTGCAACAAGGCTTTCGGCATGTTGCTTTCCAAGTACGGTGTCAGTCATAAGGTTTCTACCCTCTATCATCCTCAAGCTAGTGGTCAAGTGGAAGTCTCCAACAGAGAAATTAAGAGCATCTTGTCAAAAACTGTCAATGCTAATAGGATCGATTGGTCGAAAAAGTTGGATGACGCTCTATGGGCTTATCGGACAGCTTACAAAACTCCGATTGGTATGTCTCTGTATCGGTTGGTGTTTGGAAAAGCTTGTCATCTTCCGGTTGAGTTAGAGCACAAGGCCATCTGGGCTTTTGAGGAAGTTGAATTTAGAATGGGATGTTGCGGCAAATCTTCGTGTTGAGCAACTCAATGAGCTCGATCAGTTAGATTCCATGCCTACTCAAGTTCATCCTTGTATAAGGACAAAATGAAGTATCTTCACGAAAAATATGCTCGGGGTAAGGAGTTTAAGGTTGGAGATATAGTTCTCTTGTTCAATTCCCGATTACGTCTGTTTCCGGGTAAGCTCAAGCCAAAGTGGAGTGGGCCATTTGAAGTTGTGTTTGTGACCCCATTTGGTGATCTTGATCTAAGGAACAAAAATGGTAAAGTTTTCAGAGTTAATGGGCACCGGGTCAAGCATTATCTTGGGAAATTTGATGACAGCCACGTGGTGGCACTTCTTCATCTAAAGTGATGTGCGAGTAACATGCGACGTGTCGCGACGTTAAATCAGGCGCTTCTTGGGAGGCAACCCATGTCTTTTTCTTCTTGTTTTCTTTGATTTTCTTTGTAGCTTAGGTTTGATTTTTGGACTAATTGGTTGTGAGATGTTGCAGGGATTGTGTTGATAGAGTGCAAAATATTTTGGAAAAATTGAACAGCCTTTGAAGTTGCCAGTGCGGCCGCATTGCACTTTATGCGGTCCGCACTGGTGAAGGCCAAGTGAGGTACTCTCTAAAGATTGCAACTGTGGCCGTATTCCATTTAGTGCGGACCGCGGTGGACCTCCGCGGCCACGATCTATTTTGTGCGGTTCACGGAGGTTGCCTTCTCAAGCTTCTTCTGAACAAACCCAGCGCGGTCTGCGGTCCATTTTGTGCGGCTGCGCTGGTAGGTATAACCAGGTCCCACACATTTTTTTATAAATAGACCACAGGGGTCACCGGTTACCCTTTTCGAAAAATTGATTCTCAGAGACCTAAAAAATTACTGTTCATCTTCCCTCTTCTTCGTACTAGCTTGTTTGCATTATGTTTCTTCACTTCTTCTCAATATCTAGTAACAATTCAACCACTTTTTGTTATTTTAGTTATTTAATTTCATTTTATGTCATTTTCTATTAACTGTGTAGACTTCTTCCCCCCCTCCCCCCATAATTCTTCAATTTTGATGTTAGTTTAGTTTAACCGTTAAGTTTTGTGTGCCTGAGGAGTATTATTAACTGGGTAAATTGAGTAGGGACAAAGTTAGGTGAAAACTTGAACAAAAAGGCAAAACCCATGAACCCTAACTTAGTGCCTTGACTAAGCACCCTTCGCGGACCGCGGTCCCTTTTGTGAGGTCCACAGTGCTCTGATGCAGTCCGCGGTACCACTTTGTGCGGACCGCAGTGCTTATGTTCTGAAAGATTGACTTGTTGCCCAGCGCGGCCGCACTACATTTTGTGCGGTCCACGCTGGCCCACCGCGGTAGCGATGTTACTTTGTACGGACCGCGGTGGTGTGATTCAGAGGATGAATTTTTAGACCTTACCCCCAATGCGGACCGCGGTTGCTTTTATGCGGTCCGCAGTGCCTTTAGTGTCCTTTTTGTGCGGTCCACGGTGCACTGTGTCTGCAATATCTTCTGCAACTTTCAGGCTTCTGTTCTGCAATTCATTTTCCACAACTGATTCACTGTCTGTGCTGATACTAACAAAGCTAGATGTTTGTGCTTGCAGACAATGGTTAAACAACGAGGCAAAGGCTCGAAACAACTCGGGCGAGGTGATTCTTCCCAGGAAGGGAAGCAAAGGATGGTAAAACTCACTCCCCAGGCTAGAAAAAACATCAAAAACATGAGGAAGGCCATAAAAACGGCTGATAGAGCCATTGACAACTCGGGGAGTGAGTACAAGCCCTCCCTGGAGATCTCTTCGGATTTAGTCCCATTATACATCCCATATCCGGAGAGGGCCATACATAAAGACACTCCTCCCTCTTCCCCTGATGCTCAAGCTTCAATCAACATTTCTTCTGGGTCGTCTGAGGGTTCAGCAGCAGGTAGTGGGGATGAATACTCTACCTCTCCCATAGCTTCAATATTTGGAAAGGGTGCTAGAGGTGATGAGGGAGATGGGGAGTTACCTGGGGGTGGTGTGCCTCAGGTTGGGGGTATTGACCGGACTAGAAATCCCGTTGTTTGGGAAGATAGATTCGTCATCCAGGTAGCGTTCCACAAGTTTAGGGAATGGTGGTCGGCACGAAAGTTGATTCTTGAAAGGAGCTTCATTGACAAAGACCTTCTACCCCTACACCCCAATGTACATAGACAGTTTCGAGCTCGAGTGGGTTGGGAGCACTTTAAAGATAATTGTGTGAAGGCGAATGAGCACATGGTCAAGGAGTTTTATAGCAATGTGGCCCACATCTTGAAGGGCACTAAAGTGACCAAAGTGCGAAACAAAAATGTGGTATTTACCGGGAAGGCACTAAATGAATACCGGGGGTTCAATGAAGAAGATGAGTCTCTTTACAATAAAAAGTTGGCAATGGGCGAGGAGGATCGTCCATGGTTAGCTTCATACCTGGAAATCTCAGGTACGGTTCTGGAGTGGTTGCAAGCAGGGGCCAAAATACTTCGGAGGACCTTTAACTTTGAGGCTAGGGGGTGGTTGACTTTTGTGTGCAGTCGGCTCGACCCCACTACCCATGATCAGACTATTCCACTTGCCCGCGTTGTTCTTGTTGCATATATTATGGGGGATACCCTATCAACGTGGGCAATATGATGTCCCGCGTCATTTCTGCAATGGGGGTTGAGCATGACCTGAACTACCCTTTTCCCAGTACCCTCACTATGTATTTCCAGGACCTGGAGGTGGAGAAGAGACCTTTTGACATCAAGGTCAAACTTGTGGCTCTCTTTTCGTGGTATAGTTTGAAGGGGTCAGACAACCCCAAGGACAAGAATTACAAGCCGCCTGTTTCTGCCCCAACTGACCAGTCTGAAGAGCCGGTTGCGGTGGAGCCCTCCACTAAGCCTGCCTCCACAGTTGATGACATGCCTCCCGGACCTTCCACTACTGCTGGTCCTTCTACATCAGCTGGCCCGGGGATTCCATCTTCCTGGGCCCATCCTATCACTGCCCACCGCTGAGCCAGACACTTCATAGCTTGAACAAATGGATGGCGACTGCTTCATCCAAGTTGTCTACATTGACCTCCACCATTGCGGCTCAGTCGGCACCACAACCAGTGCAGGTGCCCCAGTCTATCGAGGATTCACTTAAGGAGATTCTTGCCAACCAGCAGAAGATCCTTGATTCTCAGGCTGCCTTGGCTAAGGCAGTGGATTCACATGGCAAGGACCTGAAGGAGCTTGCCAGAGAGCACAAGAAGCTGCGCAAAACACGGGCTTCCAAGGAGTCTGTGAAGGAGATTAGAGCGTATGTGGACAGACTGAAGGCAGACCAGCTGCCTTTAGATTTGCTACTTGAGGATCCAGCTCCAGCAGCAGTACCAGCAGCAGAGCCATTGCAGGAGCAGACACAGAGGCTTCCTAAGAAGAAAAGGAAGCTCCCCAGTGCAGATGAGGTGATCATCCAGTTGGCGGACCCACCGGAGGCTTCCTCTAGTCAGCCACAAGATGTTCCTGAGATTCAGCCCGTCCAGGTCCAGGCCCCAGTCCCAGCAGCTGAGCAGCAGGAGACCGGAAATCAGTCTGAGATTCCCGCGCATACAAAGGACCCGGGGACCACTGATGATCCCATGCAGACGGACACGGCTTAGGGAGTCCTCATATCCTTTCCTTATACTTTTTGGTGCTTATTTGTTTAGTTGGCATTGGGGACAATGCCAACTTTTATTTGAGGGGGTGCGCCGTACATTTTATTTTTGGATGATTGTATATGTATACTGATTTCATTAGGTAAATGTCGTATTCACCTTTCAAAGCAAAGCTAAACTTCAACATAAATTCACCGTTCTGACAAATTTTAGAAGTTTGAGTTTGATATTACAATTATTTTAAAATTCAAATGAACTAAATATTTATTAAAGATTTTAACTTTGAATTTACTACAAAATTATCACTTTTATTGTTATGAAATTTTGACCATCTTAATACATTTTTTTATTGATGCTAATTTTTCACGTACTCCAATCATTTAATATGAATAAACTCATAGTAATAACAAGTAGTGTAGTACTGAGTTTGCATTAAAATAAGAGATCCTTAACTTTGAGTTATGCCAACTAAATTTAAACACTTTAAGTCTTCATCGGAAGATATAAACTAGGATAGATTTTGGGTTTGCCATTTATTTTAGAATATTTTAAAGTGAAAAAAAACACCATTTAATTTTGTAATTTTATAATAAAAAGAGTAGCATTCGGTTTGAGTTGAAATAGAAGAACTTGAACTTTGAGGTTAGCTTTTGCATGGATTGGCATTGGCTAACTTCAAAATATTGGTATAGTACAAATAATAATTTACGATAAAACTTGAAGTTTAAAATATTCGTTTAGTCAGATTTAAATATATTGTTCAACTGCACTAAAGACTGAGTCATGATTAGATACGCAATTCAAATAAAACAAATTAATTATATGAGTAAATTAATAGACAAGAGGGGTTGTTCTGATGGTAAGCAACCTCCACTTCCAATCAAGAGGTTGTGAATTCGAGTCTACCCAAGAGCAAGGTGGGAAGTTCTTGGAGGGAAGAATGTCGAGGGTCTATTTGGAAACAGCCTCTCTACCCCAGGGAAGGGGTAAGGTCTGCGTACACACTACCCTCCCCAGACCCCACTAAGTGGGATTATACTGTGTTGTTGTTGTTGTTGTTGAGTAAATGTTTCATAATTATATATTTTTCCTACTTATGTTGATCTTTATTACTTGCAAAATTGTAGGGTATGAGAAATTATTGTTCTTTTTTAATTTAATATAACTATTTAATTTTAAGTCTTTATATTTTAGTTAATTTTGGTGGAATATTGGTCCAACATTAGTCTATCCTTAGATTATAAATTGTCACGAGTAGTTTCTTACTTTTTATTGAGTTACATGTTTATCATCTTTTAAAAGTTATTACTTATAAGAAAGAATGCAACCTCTTTCGTGCTCCATCTCATCAAAAGTTTTAATTCTATTTATTTAATTACACTTTTAATTTATAACTCAAATACAATTTTAAATAACATTTATATGACTTTTAAAATAATTTACTTATTAGATCTAAAGTCGCGCGTACCTTAAGACTAGTCATCTAATAAGCACCGGTTAATGAAATAATAATATGATCAAGTGTCATCCCCCACTTAATTCTTTTTGTTCTTCTTTTATCGGTTGACCTAAAGTTAGTTTTTTCTCGACTTAACATATACAATACTCGACATTACAATGTGAATATTGAGTATTCGCGACATAGTTGTTTTAAGTCAAAAGTTCGAAATGAAAATTATAAATTAATTTTTACAGTAATTTGCCTCAAAATACTATATCCCTTCAAATAGAACTTCCATGTTATTCGAAGATTGTGGTTTAAATAATTTAACTATTTCTCTCAACCAAGTAAAGTTATATAAACAAAGAACAAGTCAATTGCTTCGTGGCCTCATATAAAATATAGGATCCTCCTTGAACTACTACAGAAATAATCGCTTTACCATTGTTTCGTAAACTCTTTTTACCTATAAATAGTGAATATCATTTGTACATTTAAATCGTGAACACATCAAGAGGAAAAGTAAAACAAGAAAACCAAAGAAGACAAAAAGAACAAAAACAATAAAATGGCAAAGGCTATTTTGCTCCTTTCTGCAGTCTGCATCTTGGCCTTTGTCAACTTCGCACAATGCCATGATTCTCAAGCCATCAATGTTGAAGGCAGTGTCTATTGTGACACTTGCCGTGTTCAATTTCAGACCAAACTTAGCGAGTATATCGAAGGTATGAATGTCATAAATTTATAGTAATTTCACTTGTGTTCATTCAACTTTCAGTTTATTGCATCCTAATCGTAAAACTAATGTTCTAACAAAAAATAACTCAACTATGTCCTGAAAATGCTTTAAGCTGCAATGTGTACAAATTTTTCATGCAAGTATAGCCACTTCACCACCTAACCTTACATGATATTTAAATAGCACCACTTAAAAATACAAATATTCTATTTTCCAACTAAACCTAATATCTTATGTCTTTTATCATGTGGGACAATTTTTTTTTCTTTTTATGCGGATCGAAAATAAGTTCGTTATTATTTTGAAAGTTTTGTCACATAGATATTATGTAAGGTAAGTTGCTGAAGTGATTACCTACATATGTTTTCAAGATTGGTTTTAACATTTTTCTCCCCCGCCTTTTCTATTTTGTAATATATAGGCATAATTGACTTATTTTCTTCGTTACAAAAATTCTATGACTTTGGTATAATAAATCAAAAGTTGTCAATAATCCATGAAATTAACCCTTTAATACACAAACTAGAAATATAATACTATATATAGTTCATTGAAAGTAATACGTACCAAGTTGCTAATATTATTTTGTATATTATATAGGTGCAACGGTGCGATTGGCATGCAAAGATATTGAGACAGAAAAGGAGACATACTCGGTAGAAGGGGTGACAGACAAAAATGGAAAATACATAATCAAAGTAGAAGGTGATCATGAGAATGAACTTTGTGAAGTTTCAATTGTGAAGAGTCCTAGAGAGGATTGCAAAGAACCTGCCATTGGTTTTGAGAACTCAAGAGTTGTGTGCAGTGGAAATGTTGGAATTCATAATCCAACTCGTTATGCAAATCCACTTTTCTTCATGAAAACTGAAGCTGTTTCTGGCTGCAAAGATGTTCTTGATGAGTTGGGTTTATTCCCACTTGAATTTAACTAAGTTATATGTATTGGAGTAATAATTAGTATAAGAAAAAAAAATAGCTTTTGCATGTCCTTTTTGTTGATTTGGTGAAACAAAAAAAAA